ATCTCCGACGCCTCATTGGGGTCCAGCCACACGCGGTGGCGGCCGCAGCGGAGGATGTCCGCCGCCAAACGAGCCTGCAGCTTCAGCGACACCATTGTCTGAAGAGGTTGAAGTAGCGGATGCCTGTAATTCAATAGCGGTGGAGGGAGAAGAAAAAAGGGGACAGCGGACAAGTGCGTGAAGACGTAGGAGAGCGCAGTGCAAAAAGTACTCACAGGCGCCCACTGGCAGACAGACGCACAAAGCCACACGTGCAGCTCAATCTTTTTCGCCTTTTTTTTTCTTTTCTTTAATACGGCAGCGCACACTGAGTCATCATCACTGCTTTTTTTTTTGCGTCACTGCCACGACTGACCCCCACGCGCCGGCGTGTTTCTTTTCTTCGGGCAACTGTGCGATCGGTCTCGCCGCCTCCTTTGCCTTCGCCCACGCCATCGTGCTGCTGTTGCTGCTTTGGCCGTCCTCCCATCCGCGCTCAGGCCTCGCCTCAGCGGCGGAAGCAGCGGCGGCATAACCGCCGGAGTCATTCCCGCAGAAAGGCGGCAAGCGACTCCATCTTGTCCGGGGCGAGCTGCTGCTGCAGCGCCTTGTCTACCTCCGCCTGGTACGAGTCCGCCACAGTCCGCCGCACGCGTGCCTGCTGCTGTCGCTCCGCGAGCTCGACGGGCACGAGAGTTGCCCCATCCACCGCCCGCGACGCAAGCCGGCGCCGCGTCTCCTGGTCCAATTCCATCTCGATCTGGCGGCACTCGCTCTTCTTCAGCTCCGTCGAGTCGAGACCTTTACACTCGCGCCGGTGGTCGCAGAAGATGTCTTTATGCAGGTACACGCCGCACATGTCGCACTTGAAGTACTCCAAGTCCGCCGTGACGTGCGACATCGCCTCTGCAGGACGCCGACTTCCGCTTCACCCCGCGGCGGTGACGACACACACGCCCGAAGCAAAAAGCCTAGCTCCACCAAGTGCCAAACGGAAGGCGAGTAAGGAAAGAAAGCAGGCAAAAGGAAAAATGAGAATAACAGAACGCTTTGCTCTCCACCAAGAGCAGGATCTCTACAAGCCCACCACAAGCAGCACACAAAAAAAGCCAGCAGAAGAATCTTCTTAAAAAACGAAACAAAAAAAGAACAAAAACAGGTTGGACGTCCTAGTATGCGCCTCACTTCTTGCCACCAGACTTCTTTCCAGCGGCGGCGGCCTTCGCAGGAGCAGCGGCCTTCGCAGGAGCAGCGGTCTTCGCAGGAGCAGCGGCCTTCGCGGGAGCAGCAGCGGCGGCCTTCGCGGGAGCAGCGGCGGCCTTCGCAGGAGCAGCGGCGGCCTTCGCAGGAGCAGCGGCCTTCGCGGGAGCAGCGGCCTTCGCAGGAGCAGCGGCCTTCACGGGCTTCTTGCCAGAAGGAGCAGCAGCCCTCTTCGCGGCAGCGTTCCGCTTGGCGGCGGCTGCGGCAGCAGCGTCTTCGCGGCGAGCACGCTCACGGTCCTTCTCGCGCTTGCGCAGCTCCTGCTTGCGGGCCTTCTGACGGTTCTGGTCATCCTTCAGGCGCTTCGCCGCGAGCTGCTCAGCCAGCTGCCGCTCCTTCTTCTTCTCGTTCTTCACCTTGTGGATGTGCTCCATGAGGTTGCGCTTGTTGCGGAACACGTTGCCCTTCGCCTTCACGTACAGCTCGCGGTAAATGTGGCGGTCAATCTTCTTCTCCTCGCGGTACTTGCGCAGCAGGCGGCGGAGGATGCGCAGGCGGCGCATCCACAGCTCCTTGCTCGGCATGCGGGCTTCGCGGGTACCCTCGCGGCGTCCAGGGCCCTCGTGGCGGCCCATGCTCTTCGCCTCCTTAATGTGGCGCCAGCGGGAGCGGGAGTGCACCTTGACGGGCTTGCGGATAATCAGGCCGTCCTTGATGAGCTTGCGCACGCTCTTGCGCGAGTTCGCGTTGGAGATCTCCGACGCCTCATTGGGGTCCAGCCACACGCGGTGGCGGCCGCAGCGGAGGATGTCCGCCGCCAAACGAGCCTGCAGCTTCAGCGACACCATTGTCTGAAGAGGTTGAAGTAGCGGATGCCTGTAATTCAATAGCGGTGGAGGGAGAAGAAAAAAGGGGACAGCGGACAAGTGCGTGAAGACGTAGGAGAGCGCAGTGCAAAAAAGTCTCACAGGCGCCCACTG